TGAGGTTCCCCAAAATATCCTGAGGTTCTTGGCACATGCTAAGGAAGTGACATTCTTTACTCACCGATAAAGTTGCTGTGAACCTGTAAGTAAGGTACCAGGCTAATATTTACAAGTGGCTTTTATTCCATGAAGTGAATCTTTGTTCCTCAAAAGCTCTCTCATTATATATGAATGTGTGGGGGGCGGGAGGGGGGTTCTCTCCAAGAGGACAGGGCATTCATCCCCCTTTTCCCCACCCCTGTCCAGGCTGCCCAGTCATTCTCCCACCTGCCGTCTTTCAGCCGCTGTCCAGGACACTGGACACAGCTGCCCAGACCCTGCTCCGATGCCCCACGCTCTCTGTCACCTCTCGCCTGCCCTGCTCTGCCAGTCACCAGCCCACCGCCTCCCACTGCCAGGGCACGCTACTGCCACCTGGTGCTTCACCATATGCAGGCCCCGGAGAGCACAACTTTACAGACTTCTTTCACACCTATCCGCTTTTTCAGAGTTAGAATCATTCTGTACACAACGTGACAGTGGGTTTTAAGGAAGGATATTGTATTTTTTTACTTCTTGCAGGCAGTTCTGAGGAGAGGTTTGATGATGGTGGTACGTTGGTGCCACCTTGTGACAGAAGCCTGAACTGCAGCCTCAACATCTCGGAGCAGGAAGGTGGGTGGGGAGGGGCTGTGACCCAAACCCCCACAGGCAGAGCCGTCTGGGTGGAAAAGGGGTATTCCCAGGCTATAGGGACACTGACGGCCTCTTTCCATGCTGAAGAGAAAGCTGTATGTGAAAAGGACAAAAATATTTTTATTTTTATCCTTTGAGACCTCTGGATAAATAGCTAGAGACCCATATAAGCAAAAGTGGATCTGTGCCATTTATGATGTTTGTAACCCACCTTTGCCCTTATATGGCCATCTTTCCATGTAAATGTATGTCTATGAGAACATTTTAAATTACTTTATAATAAATTTCAATTTTTTTATATCAGCCATGTGTTCAATCATATTGTGCCCAAACTATTTCACCAGTACCCTAGCGGTGAAAATTTAGTTCTCTTACCATATTTTCTGATACAAACAATAGTATACTTAACACTCTTGCACATATATATGCAGATATCCTTGTGTTTCTTTATAAGTTCTCGAAAGTGTTCTTTCAAAACCAGGTAAACTAATATTTATATTAACACATTGAAAATACTAATTTATATTCCTAACATTGCTGTATGAAAATGCCTGTTCCTCCACACATCAGAAATAATGAGAATCACTGCTTACCTGATAGGCAAGAAGCCATTTCTCATGATTGTTTTCATTATAACTCATTTTTACTTTCTGTCTAGAATTCCATGCTATGGGTGTGACATCATCAATTCTCACAATCCCGTGTTGTTTGGAATTCAATGCGTTTCTGATAGTCCCTATTATCAACACCGTGTGGATGGCATCTCTTCAGTGTCTGTACACTGCTAAAGGGTACTGTTCACGTTGCTATTTGCATTGGAGAGCTGAATGTGTCCTCTTTGAATCCAAAAATCTATCTTAGGAGAAATCTACTATTATGACAACAGAACCTGGTGTGTGTGTGTGTGTGTGTGTGTGCGGGTGCGCACGCGTGCATGCACATGCAGCTGAGTGTGTATCAGCAGCCGAGTGCGCTGACAACCACATTTCCCTCTGCTTCCTTCTGTCCCTTCGTGGCATCGCTTCCCATTTCGTCTCATTTCTTAAATTCAGACCCAAAAGTGAAACTAGGGAATTACCAGGACAGCAATCCTTATAATCAAATCCTTGTCACCATCTTTAACTACATCCTGAAGATAAACTTCTAAAAGGGGAATTGTCGATGTAATGAGTGTGCACCTGTGTGGCCCTTTGAGGAGTCCTGCCATACCGACATCCAGAAAGGTAGTTCCAGTGTAGTCTCCCCAAAGAGGAGTCACGTGAGAAAGGCCACAGAGGAGTGAAGAAAATAGTAATGCTGACATCACATCACACAGGCCAGGCCCTGGGTGCTGTCGTGGACTCACTCTCAAACTATGCCACATGCGGAAGATGTGGAAGTGATCAGAGGTAAACCAAACTTTGCACACAAGCGCAACCTGAGGTCACACGTGTGGGAGATAGGTCACTGCTTCGAGGAACACAGGACATAGCATCAGCAAGCCTGGGAGGCAGCCATATTAATTGATATAAAACATGTGCATCAAGGCCTTTCTATGAACAAGGTTGGTCATTACCGTGGTACAAGAGAAGACCAGGCCAATATCACATTTTTAACTGCTTTCTTGCAATATAATTTAGAGAGAACAAAATCCACACATTTTAAGCATACATTTTGATGATTTTCAGTAACTGCATAGAGTTGTACAACCATTACCATAATCGAGTTTTAGACGTTTCCATCACCCCAAAAAGTCCCATTGTGCTTGAATGCAGTTAAAGTCCACACCCATTGCCAGCCCCGGGAACCACAGATTAGCTTTCTCTCCATGGACTTGCCTATTCTGGACATTTCATCTAAGTGGAATCACACTGCAGGGGAGAAAAAAATTTTTCTCTACCCCTCTAGGTTCTTTTGGCTGGTCTAATAATTAAACTGACATAAGACAGATTAACAGGAGAAAAAGAAATTTAGTTTCGTATGTATGGGAGCCCCACATATGTATGAGAGGCTCCTCGACAGTCAGGCATTTGAGGTTTATGTGCCACTCTGGGCTAAGGAGAAGGGGATAAGGTTCTGGGGCTTCAAAGGAAAGGAAGACAATTCATAGGAAGATGGTTGAATGAAGGTTTGGTAAACACATGTTTGCCATGCTGTGCAGAGACAGTGGGACACAGAGAGGAATGTGGACAAACAGACCCTGCTGAGTCCCCCCAACCCCCAGCTCACCACACCTAGTGCATATTCTTTGTAGTTATCTCTGGTGACAACTCTCTTCCTGGACCAGGGCCTGTATCTAAATTCTTTCAGGCAGTTAAGGTGGGGGTAGAAAGCTCTTCCTGAGTCTTCTGGGCCTTGATTGTCTTCACCTCAAAATAATCCACATGCCAAAGTGGCGCATTTTGAGGTGGCATATTCTGCTCCCCTTCAATACAATATGTGGTCTTTGCATATTTGGATTCTTTCACCTGACATACCGTTTTCAAGGTTCACCCGTGTTGTTGCATGTTTCAGTACTTCATTCCTTTTCATTGCCAAATTATATCCCACATTTTATTTGTCCATTCCTTAACTGGTGGACATCTGGCTTGTTTCCACTTTTGGCTATTATGAATAATGATGCCACGTACATTTGTGAGCAAGTTTTTAGGTATACATGTGTCGTCATTTCTCCTGGCTGTGTACCTAGGAGTGGAATCGCTGGGTCATGTGGTAAGTCTCTGTTGAACTGTTTGAGGAACTGCCAGACTGTTTTCATGACCCTGACAGCCTTGAGGAGTGCAGGCACAGTCTGCTATTTTTCTCTTGATTAGACTGTGCTTACAGGTTTTGAGAAAGAATAGCACAGAGTTCAAGTGCCCTTCTCAGCACATGATATCTGGGAGGACATGAGACCCATGTGACATCGCTGGATCACTGGACACGTTGACCCTCATGGCTGGGCTGAGGTGTTTGTCGAGGTTCTCCAGGGTACAGGAACTGTTCTCCACCCCCAGACTCAGTTCTTTAGAAGGGAGTCACTGAGTATGCCCTGCCCTCAGCGGTGGAGGCAGAACTAAGGTTCACTTCATGGAGGCAGGGTATCTACATACATTATTTAGAAATATTTGATCAAGACAGCTTGTCTCCCGTCACCCATTTCTTTATTAACTCAAACACTTTTAGCAGTAAGGATTCACGTCTGCTTTTACTATGACGGTTGTGTTATGTTACTGAAGGGATGCATCCCCAAAAGTTCACCATTCCGATTTCTGTGGTACAGTAAAAGTATTCTGACTTAAGAGTCAGGAACCTGCAAGAGTTCCCTACTGCCACCATTATATTTCACCACCATTACGTTGCCTAGCTGTGGTATATTAGACAATGCATTTAGACAACCCATTTACCCATGACAGAATTTGAGACATTATAATTTCAGATGATTTATTCCATAAACGGAAATCCCTTGAGAAAGAAAGAAAAAGAAATAAGACAGAGTTTATTGAAGTGACCAGAAAAAATGATTGTTATCTGCAAAATCCTTTTCAATGAAGCAAAAGTACAGGACCTGAGGAAAAAACGCGTGCTTAATTTGAAAGCTCATTGCCTAAAGCACAGCCTTCACATCATCAGACTCTGACTCTGTGGAGGCATTTACAACTCGGGCTTTTACGTACCTGATCGCACAGCAATATAATCCTTGTCTCTACCCAAGCAACTGAATTCTGTCCTGGGGGAAGGAAATCCTTTCCTCCTGGAGAAAGACCTGTCTGTCTCCATTTGAACACTCATTTCAACACTCAAGATCTAGAGATGTGACAAAGAGGTGGTTGTTGAGCAGGCAAGTGTAATGTTTATGTCCCAGGGCAGAGCTCTTCATGCAGATGACGGACCCCGTGGTGTTGCGTGGCTGAGAGGATGCAGCTTCTTAGGACTCTGCACCAGACGGCTGCAAAATGGGAGCCCTTAACTTCAGTGTGCAGAAGCAGATTTAGGCAGACTGCCACACCTTACCTCCTGGAGAGATTGGATTTTATAGTTTCATTGAGGTATAACTGATAGACAAAAAATTACACAATTTAACGTATAAATCTTCATAGGTTTGGACCTACACATGCACCTGTAACACAATGACCATAACCAAGGTCCTAAACATATCCATCCTCTCCAAAACCTTCCTTGTGTTCTTTCCACACACCCTTGTTTTTACAGAATAGGAAACTGAGGTTGAATCATGTACACTGACTTGTATAAACACAGGCAGGACTAGCATTTTGGAATCAGAAGTGAAGACGCAGATTGTAGGAGTGACACGGCTCAGAAGGAGAGCAAGGTCTACTTGATTGGAGGTGGCTCGCAGCTGAGCATCATGCAGTTGGCATTTGGACACAGAAGGCAGCAGTCTCTGCTTTTCGTCTTGGTAGCACGATGACCCCCAGCCAGGTTACTTAACCTCCGTACATCATGGTTTCTCCAGCTACAAAAAGATGTAGAAATCATGTTCTCTACCTCCCTGGAATGTTGTAGGAAATAGATGAGATAAAAAAGTCGCATGCATCCAGGAAAGCTGAGTCCTCACGGTTCCCTGAGGTCAGGGGTCCTGCTTTTCGTGCGACTTTTTGACGTTCCAACCACCCTAGGACCATGCACAAATGGTCATTCAAATACAAAATGGTACAAGAACTTCTCGAGTTCACCCAAGACAGAGCATCATAAGAGAGGCAGCGAAGACTGGAAAGTAATTACTTGGAAATCACTGCTCCTTCCTTCCCAACTGAGGTCTCACAAGTGCTTCCCTAAATGGGATCTCACGTACCTCTCTGTCTATCAGAGAGGTTTGATCCCCAAACAACAAGCACAGGGGAAAGGACTTACCCAGAGTCCCAGTGTTCTGTGACAGCATTCTTCTGCAAAGCCTCTTCTTTCTGAGCTATGGTGCACAGTATTATTCTCGAGAAACTACCATAGAAGATAAAAAGTGGGATAGGGAAAGGATATGAAATAAAGTGAAAGGGGGTGACGGTTTAGATGGTTTTGTTTTTGAAACCCTAGGGAACTGGTCCAGTGCTTGTTTCCTGTTTTCCTAAATTATCTGACCAATCAGTCCAACAAAGAGAAATGACACAGTAGTCAATACATAATGGAAACTTATACGTTTCCCTTCCACTTAACATTTTCCTATCATTACACAGTCATGCTATTTGGATTATGTCAAGGGAAGCTTCTTTAAAGGAAGGATAAGTATGGGATAAGAAAGGAACTCACACAATTGCGTACCACATGTACTATGTGCTGTGTATGACACTTGAAATATTTTGCTCTTTTGCTTCTCAGAACAATCGTCTCGTATAGCTATAAAGGTTCCCATTTTATAAATCAGACAAAGCAAACTCAGAAATATGTAATTTCTAAACAAGTTTCCACAAGTGTAGAGATCACAGCAATCATAATCCCAAGCCATAGCTCTCCTCATATAACAAACTGGGTCCTTTTTACTTGGTGGTCATTCAGGGCTTAGGCATAAGTGTTTTTGAACCGTGTATGTTCTCCTTGACGATTCACGCATGTATGGATGGGTACTGTAGGCGAGGAAGAACTATTCCCCTACCCTCTGGGTTCTTCCGGCTGGTCTATGAATTCAATTGACAGGAGACAGAATAACAGGAGAAAATCAAATGAAGTTTAACAAAATGTATACATGGGAGAAACCCAGGAAAACTGAGTCACTCGCCAGAATGGCAGAAGCCACCACCTTAAATACCATCTTCAACTAAGGACAGAGGAGGATGTCTGGGGTTGTGGTTTGGGACTTCAAAGGGGAGGAAGGTAATTTACATGGAGATGGAAAAGCAAATGCTTGGTACATAAATGGTGACCATGCCTTGTAAAGACAATGAGAGACAGAGAGAGGACGTGGATCAAGTGGGCCCTGCCAGGTTCCTCCATGTTGACCTCACCTAGTTCATATTATACAATAGTGATCTTATGGTATTAGCTCCTTCCTGGAATAGCCATTCTATCTTAAATTCTCTTAGACAGTTAGGGGGGAAGGGCAAAGTTTTTTTCCGAGTCTTTTGTTCTGAAAAATCATCAAGCCAAAGAGACACATTTTGGGGGGGCTGATTCCGATCCCCCACAGTATTAATACTTTTCTTTCTCCAAGTGCACATTTCCAGTAAACATAAGCATCTGGGTCTCAGAAGAGAGATCTGCAACACGGAGTTTTGCCAGAGTGTCTGGCAAATCATATTCACCAAATAAAAATTTATTGAAATCACGAATCCATGGATTAGTGAAGGGTATTCACCTTAATGCAGGCAGAGCTCCTACAACAAAACACCAAAATGTCTAAACGGACCACGGATGAAGAAATTAAAAAGGCCACTAATCAAAAGAAAATGTGTTCTAACTCACTAATAATTTAAGGAGTGCAAATGAAAGCATCTAGATATCCTTTTACCACCTATCATCTGTCAAACATTAAATAGAGGAAAAACAAGAAGGAACAAAAATTTTACAAATACAAATTTGAAAACGGGCTCTGTGTGTGTTTGTGTGTATGTCAGAGACAGAGAGAGAAACAGAGAGAGAGACTCAACGTTAGTAAAAGTCAAGGAAATGGAAACAGAAATAAATTTAAATGTTATGAACAATAGGTATGGAAGTAGTTAAAGAATGAGACGGCTCGGACACTTTTTGAGGAAGTTTGAACTATTGAAATCAAGTCCCAGGGAAGATGTTTAAACACATAATTGAGGGAAATCTTTTCACATGTGCAAAAGTAAGCTGGTAAGGGGCTGTTTGCTGCAGCAGAGCATGAAAGGGAAGAGGAAAAATATAGGAAGCAACCTACATGTCCATCAGGACAGGATAACTACACGAGGAAAGGGTCACAAAACCATCTCCACTCCTCTATGGGCTTCAAGGCAAAATGGAGAAAACTTTAATTCCAGAGTGAGCTGCTAATCAGGAGATAGAGAGTGGTCTCCCTGATTAATTCAACCCCCCAAACTCCCCTCATCTGAGTATTGGTCATAGCGGATGGTAAGTTGAATAGTTGTTAAGATGAAAGGAGATGGAACATCAAGTACAATTTCTCAAAGCTGTTCTGTACACATTACTTTCCATCCCTCTAGATCGCCTGTCCCAAGGGCAACACCTGAGCTTCTGCTGAGCCCCACTGATTCCGGGATCAGCCAAGGGATGTGGCCCGACACCCAGGTCTCTTGGCACCAAGAGTGGGATTTCATGTCCTCTGTCATCTTCACCACTCAGAGGGGTTGCTGAGTGACTACTCCTGGGGCCACATTATCAGGGGAGTGTGATGGACCATTTCTCCAGCCCTGGAAGCCCATTTCTGAAAGGGGGGGCTGCTCTGTGTCCTCTGTGGAGGGCGAGGGATGGAGCCTCATTCCTGTCCTGACACGTATCTGGAGAGGGGACTTCAGCTCGGTCAGCCTGAGCTTGGCTATCTGTGAAGTGGGACTCAGGACACCTTTGCCACAGAGCCGTCCTCAGGTGTAAATGAGAAACCCTGCCCAGAGTACACAGCATGTGGTGGGACTTCAGTGGCCCTTTCATTGTTGGGACACTGCAGCAGGGGCAGGCTGAGCCTCGGGCCTGAGGCAGGCACTGTGAGGAGTCACTTCTCATTGTTTCCTGTATGAGAATATACATATCTTTATGAAAGACGCAAGTATCTCTCTGATATGCCGTGACTTCAAAGTTTTGGAGAAACAAGATTCTCTACTTTCTTGGATGTTTCAGAAGCTCCTAAGAGCTGCCCCACATCGTGCCTCTGCGCAGACCCTAATCCAGTTCCTCACCTGCTGAGCTCAGTGAGACGTGATACCAGGGCAGCAAGGTGTGGCATTTGCCTTACTGCTGCTCTGGACTGACCTGTGTCTTAATACATTGATAGGAAAATTCTGGACCCGCCCCAGTCACCAGTGCAGGGGCCCTCAGATCGTGCATGATCCAGCCACGTCATGCCAGGATTTCAGCCATCTGCTGCCTCCCTGACAGGAAAAAATCCAAAAATTACTAGGATTCTGTGACACATCCCTCCTTGGTCCCCTCATACTCATGCCACCACAAGCCTCTCTCTCTTTATCTCTCTCTTCTCCTTCAAAATCAAAGTTCCAGAAAGTGGTTTTTGCATTCCCTGCTAACATTCTTCACTTCCCACTGACCCCTTATCTCACCGCACTATCAAGTCTGTCCCCAAGTCGGCAATGAATGGGCTCCCACCAAGGTCACAGTTACCTTTTTGTCACTAGCTCCAGATATTTGGTATAAATATATTAACATACTGAGTGCTACGTTAAAAGCCACGTAGAATACACACGATTGTACAGACTGCTTGTGTCACTGAACAACAAACCTTTGCCTCATAGGGGGTCTGCGAGCACCGAAGGACTCAATACATCAAAAGCACTTGGTACATAACACATTTTAGTCATTTTTCTTTCTTTTTATACGTCTTTATTGGCATTACCCTCCCCACATGCACGAAAAATAGGATATAGACTGATGTGTATTCACAATCGGTGACATTTGGGGCATGTTGTTACTGAGTGTCTTAGTCTCCTGGGGCCACCACAACACATTACCATGAACTTCGTGGTTTAAATCATCAGAAGTGTATTTACTCAGAGGTCTGGGGACCAGAAGTGCGAAATCAAGGCGTCAGCAGGCCCCTGCTCCCTCCGAAGACTCTAGGGGAGAATCCATCCTTACCTCTTCTAGTGTCCGGTCGCTTCTGGAGCTCCTTGGATCATGGCAGCGTAACTCCAGTCTCCTCCTCTGTCTCCACATGGGCTTCCTCCCTGGGTGTGTGTGAGATCTCCCTCTCCTTTCTCTTAGGTGAGCCCTAAATCCTAGGTGATTTCCCCTCAAAATCCTTACCGAATTAGATCTGCAAAGGCCCTATTTCCCACGAAGGGCACGTTCAAACACGTGAGGGGATTAAGACTTGGACATTTCTTTCCGGGGGACACAATTCAACCCACTACAATGAGGCAAGAAAGTTACCAAACTGCATGTAAGATGAGTTCTTATCTTTTGTAGCTAAAAACGCACACATACGCAAACATGCATAAATATATATATATGCTCGCATAAGAAAACTGCTGGAAAAAAATAATGCAGATGAAAACATGCAGGGCTTCTCTTTGGGTGGTACGTTTTGGGGTAATGATATTTTCCCGTTATCTATTTTTACCTATAATAAATACTTAATGCTCTTGCAACTATATATTAGAAAAAGGAGGAGAGAAGCAAGAGCATTCCCAGCCCACTCACAGAAAAGCCTTTAGAATGGCAATGTCCCTGATGCACAGGAAGGGTGACAAGATGTCTGGGAACATGCTAGATTATAACAGGACAAGTGTCATCTCAACTCGAAACCACAATGATTACTATCAAATTTTATTTATTTTTATGTTTTTATTGGTCCTGACGTTTGTTGCCAATCATTTTCTTATTTTTTCTCTCCAAAGCCCCCAGTACATAGCTGTATATTCTAGTTGTAGGTCTTTCTGGCTGTGCTACATGGGACGCCACCCCAGCATGGCCTGATGAGCGGTACTAGGTCCGCACCCAGGATCCAAACTAGCGAAAGCCCGGGCTGCTGAAGCAGACAGCGTGAACTTAACCACTCGGCCATGGGGCCGGTCCTATCATCAATATTTCAAATTCTTGTGTGTTTAATTGGGGGAAAAACCTGTATCTAGATTGACTTACTTGCTGTGCCCTGAGGAACAGTAAGGTTGAGGGTCTCATCGGATGAGCAGCAGTGGTGAACACTGGTTAGATGTGGGCCCAGCAGCCGCACAGAATCTGTTCGGATCTCAGTCTGTGACTTGCTAGCCCTGCCTCTGCTGTGCCTCACTGATGTTTAAAGTTGGGTGACGACAGCTCCTCCTCACGGGTTGTGGTGAGGACGAAGTGAGTAAGCATAGGGTTAGCACGTACGACAGTGTGGGGCACAGAGAGAGTCAGCGATAATACCAACCATTCTTATCACTACTGTCATCCCAAATGGACCATTAGTGCCTCGGCTGCCATTTTTATTATTATGTGGGCTCATATTGATGGGCGTGGATTGACCTTCATAATATGACGTTTATTTTAAAATGCGTTTTACTAAACTGTAAGTAGGACATAAATTTGTTTTATACAAGAATTCTCGCTAATAAATGCAGAAGAAATTGTAGAAGTAAAACATGATACTTTGCAAATATTAATGGGTTGAATTGTGTCTCCCCCCCAAAAATAAGTTGGAGTCTTAACCCGCGTATCTCAGGACGTCACCCTATTTGGAACTATGATTGCGGCAGATGTAATCAGTTATGATGAGGTCATCCTGGAGTAGGGTGGGCCCCTGAACCAAGGGGACTGGAGTCCTTATGAGAAGACAGCCACGTGAAGACAGAACAACAGGGGTAACACCATGTGACCACGAAGGCGGAGACTGGAGTCACACAGCTGCAAGCCAAGAAACGCAAAGCCTGTCAGCAACCAACAGAAGGCAGGAAGAAGCACAGAGAGATTCTGCGACAGCTTTCAGAGGGAGCACGGCCCGGCACCACCATGATTATGGACGTCCGGCCTCCAGAACTGTGAGACAAGACGTGTCTATTGTGAAGCCGTCCAGCTTGCGGGACTTTGCTATGGCAGCCTTGGAAGACGAATGCAGTCCCTCATACGGAAAACACTAAGTATTACTGAGAATAAAGAACTGCTCCCTTCTTGAGAGCAGACACAGCTATTTCAATCTGAGTTGCAGGAGAAACTGACACCAAAACTAGACATTGAAGGATTCAACATTTTAAGAACCTTGTTGCAAATGCAGAGCAGTGCTCTTCAAACTTGGACGAATACTGCATCCAACAGGAGAAATTGCTCAACATGCAGACACCTCCCACCCCACCTCCCCTTTCTGGATGCAGGAGACCTAGGGTGGGCCGTGCATCTGCTGTTTCAACCAGCACCCATGACGATTTTGTGACCCAGCCCACGGACCACACTTGGAGAAATCCTGACCTAAGTATCTGACGTTTTGTGCTATTAATTTGATGTCTGCCATGCAGAGTTCCGTGATATCTGGGGTGTCTCTGTTAATGTAATTCCTTGAAAGTGCACTGGTCCTTCCTCCCACCTACGAGCACAGATTGCTTTCCCACATGGGATCACACTCAAACTCCAGAGGATTCCTGGGTGGCCGGCAGCAATGGGTACCGTCATCCTGCTGTATAGACAGGACTGGTGGAAGAGGAGCGACTTACCTAAAGTGTCCCAGTGATGGGACCCTGATCTCCTCACTCTTGCTCCAGGAACCTGTCTGCACACGCGCCAGCACACTTGGTTCTTCTCTGTCAGCTCCTGCTTCTGAGGCTCAGAGTCCACACCCTCCTCTGACGGCCCACTAGAAGGAGAGTCAAGGGATAAGACGGCACATGGACTGGAGTAAAGTGAGAGGAGGGGAAAGCACATGAACACGGGGAAAGGGGTGAAGGTGGCCTTGTCTGTCCCCACTTGTCCACTGGAAGCTGTGCAATGATGCTTCGCCTCTTCCCCAGCTCCATCACACAGACCCTCTCGTCCACACAGTGACACTGAAGCTCACACATCATGGAAATAGGGGCTTATCCCTGGTGGCTGTTACATGTCCAAGTATTCTCTCTGGGAGTCATGCTACTATGTTATGTCAGGGGCCTCACACTGTCAGAATGAAGGAGGCAAAGTTGGAATGGGGAACTAACATTTAGAGCCCACCAGATGCTACACAGTGTAGACTGTCATTTTCAGACTTTTTCTCTCTATATCCTCAAGGCAGTGCTCTGTGGTGGGCATCATTACTTCCTTTCTACAGATGGGCAGAGACTCAGGGTCAGGGAACAAAGTACATGCTCAGAGGAATCTAGGGAGGCATCGAGTAGACGCAGAAGCCAACCTGCTGGGGCTAACAGTGGCCAATCCTGGGACAATGTGAGCATCAAAAGAAATAATTATAATGTCAGATGGTAACCCTCTGAGCAAAAGAAACACCTATGAGTCATAGTAATAGTCATACTAATAAAATAACTGCAATCACGCGCCGCATGATGATGTTCCAGTCTTTGACAGACCGCATATATGACAGTGGCGCCATAAGATCAGTACCACATAGCCTAGGTGTGCAGTAGGCTATACCATCGAGGTTTGTGTGATGTTCGCAGTGATGTTCGCACAATGACAAAGTCACCTAAACATGCCTTCCTCAGAAGGTATCCCCGTTGTTAAGCGAAGCCCGACTGTACAAGAATAAATAAATGACAGATGAGAAGGGAAAGCTCTCCCCAACATTTGAATGTCAATGTAGAAATCCAGAAGGAATGGCAGAATGATAAAAGCAACACCTAACACCATCACAGTAATGCCTGAGTCAGGCGAGAATCAGGACTCAATTTTGAGTCTGTACCAAATCCCACAGCAGTCACTGAGTCACCGTGGTAACCATGCTGGCCAAGGAAAGCTGGGAAAAACAAACAGCAACCAGCCTGACTTGTTTCCTAACATGTGCTGGGAGCTGAGCAGGACTGACAGAACACACAGTAATCAACCTCGAACATTTCTCACAACAAACACTCCTCACAGCCTCACCAATAAACATACACGCACACACGTGGACCCACATTCACACACACGTGCTCTCCCTCTTTCTCTTCCCACCCAAGAGCCCAGGAGTTCAGCAAGGTGCATTTGTTTGGGATAAAGAAGAAATCTCCACAATTCCACTCTAACCACACAAATAAACTTAAAACCTACTAAACGATTTCATTTTAGTGACTGATTTTTCTGGAGATGACCTGTAGAATGTTCTCTGGGACATTTTTCTCCCTAGTTTCAGTACACTGCAAGACACATCTAAAAGCTAATAGGAAAATCTACGCAAATGAATATTGTGATGGTAAATCTGATGCATTGACTTGGCAGGGCCACAGTGCCCAGATATTTGATCAAATGTTATTCTGGATGTTTCTCTGAGAGTGTTTTTGAATGATACATGCATCTATATGGGTAGACTATGAATAAAGCAGTCAGCCCTCTGTAATTTGGGTGGGCCTCATCCAATCAGTTGAAGGCACGAATAGCACAAACGGCTAATCTCCCCTGACCCAGAGGGAATTCTGCCAGGAGACTGCCTGTGGACTTCATCGACAACATCAGCTCCTCCAGGCTCACCAGCAGACTGCCCACAGGCTCCAACTGTCACTCTTTCCTGAGGCTCCAGCCTGCCGGCCTCCCACCTCAGATTCTGTCAGGCCTCCACAGTCTCATGAGTCACTTCCTTAAAATAAATGTCTATCTATATATAAACATCCCACTTTTTCTGATTCTCTGGAGAACCCTGACTAATACAGGTGTTAAACACAAAGAATCCTTTCCATCCTAGCGTAACCTGTGCTTTCAACCAAAAAGATTCTCCTGCAACATTTGACTGCTGACACTTCAGTGAAAATATAATACCTGGAAATTGTAATGAAAAATACTGCCATTGACAATAGCATCAAAAAGCATGAAACACATACAGATAATCTATGTAGCACATCTATGTCCACAGATGTGCAAGGCCTGTACTCTGAACACTGCAAAACATTGTGGAGAGAAAGAAGAGGAGGCTTAAATAAATGGAGGAACACACTGTCTTCATGGGTCAGAAGACTCAGTTTTGTTATGATGTCTATTCTCAACAAAATGATCCATAGATTCAATGCAGTCGCAATAAAAATCTTAGCATACATTTTTGTTAAAGAAATTCACAGGCTTATTCTAAAAGTCGTGTGGAAATGCAAAGGGCCTAGGCTATGAAAACAACTTTGACAAAGAACAAAGTTGGAGCATAAGCACCACCTTAATTCAAGACACATTATAAATCTACAGTAATCAAGATGGTGTGGTAGCACGGTGAAGGAAGAAATGTACATCAAAGAAACAAATAGAGTCCAGAAACAGACCCCCACATACATGGACAACTGATTTTCACAAAGCTACAAAGGCAATTCAGCGGAGAAAGGACAGTCTTTCAACAAATGGTGCTGGGACAAGTGGATATGCGTACACACAAACATAAACTGCGATCCATATATCACACCATATGCAAAAGTGATCTCAAAGCGAATCACATACCTAAACATAAAAGCTAAAACTATAAAACTTCTAAAAAAAGAACAGGAGAAAATGCTTGTGACCCTAGGTTAGGTGAAGATTTCTTAGATATGACATCAAAAGCATAAATGAATTGATATGCCAGACTTCCTCAAAATTAAAAACTTCTGTTTTCCAAAGAGACTCTTGAGAGAATTAAAAGATAAGCCACCGACTGGGAAAAAAAATTTGTAAGTCATGTATCTGATAAAGGATTTGTATCCAGAATAAACAAATCTCACAATGGTCAAGAAGAAAAAAAAGACACGTCAGTAATAAGTGGGAAAAACATTTGAACAGATACTTCACCAAAGAGGATATACAAATGTCAGATAAGCATAGGAAAATGTGCTCAACAGCATCAGTCATTAGAGAAATGTCAGCGAAAACTACAATGGGTTAGCACCACACCCCCCCGAGAAAGGCCAAAACGAAAGAGTGACCATGGCAAGTCCTGGCAAGGTTGTGGAGGATGGAACTCTCACACGCGGCTGGTGGTAATCACAAAAGGTCAACCACTTTGGAAAACAGTTTAGCAGCTTCTTGCAAAGTTAATTTTACAACTACCACGACCCAGCCATTGTCCTCCTAAGTACTGACTTAGGGAAAAAAGGCATCTGTTCAAGCAAAGACTTATACCCAAGGGTCCACAGCAGCTTTATTTACAAGAGCCTCAATTTGGAAACAACACAAATATTCATTACCAGGTGACTGGATGGATCAAACTGTGGTATATCCATTCACAGTCAGGCACCACAATAACGACATTTTGGTTGACAATAGACCACATATACGGCAGTGGTCCATAAGATTAATACCACATAGCCTGGGTGTGCAGTAGGCCATACTATCTAGGTCTGTGTAAGTACACTCTAGGATGTTTGCACAATGACGACATCCCCCCAACAATGCATTTCTCAGAACGTATCCCTGTCGTTGAGAGACACGTGACGGTAATGGAATATTAGTCAACCACAGAAAAGAAGGAACTATTTGTACATGCAACAAATGGATAATTCTAGAAATATTTAGGTTGAAGGAAAGAACACAGACAAAAAAGAATACACATTGCATGATTCAAGTCACATAGAATTACATGAAAAGAGAACTAATCTACAGTGGCCAAGATAACCATGACACTAATATCATTTTTGTTATACTCCACAGGTCCCTGAGTGTTTATTCTTTTTTTTT